AAAGAACAATGTAAAAATCAGAAAAACTATAACCGTTGGAGCGGCACCATTGCTGCTCCTACCAAATAAAGGAACGAATTTAACTTAAAAACTTAATGTTTCAATTGTGATCAAAGAGGATACTTTACTGCAACTATGGTGCATCCAGAATTTTCTGTTCTTGAAAACCTCTAAATGTAAATTCATGTCTTTTCATCGCCAATTATTCCATTGCGACGAGCAATCTTGAACGCATTTATTTCGTAAAAGATCTTGGAGTTTTATTTAACTACAACTTAAACTTTACCGATCACATTGGTATACTGTCTGTAAGGCATTTTTGAATTTGTCAAGCCCTGGTTTAACGACTACATCACAAAACACCTTTAAATTTTTCTTGTTCGACCAATTCTTGAATACTGTTCGTGCGTATGGTCACCTCAATACGCTAAATGTTAGGACCTTATTGAATTAATCAATGGCCAGATTAATTTCTGTAAGAACATCACGTCATATTCGTCCTATTGCACCTAAATTTATTTATTGAACCTTTTCCTTTCGGATACTAACAATAAGTGTATCAAATGTTATGGTAATAACCTAACTAACAGTCGTATGACTGAGTTATGGGGCCCTGAAAATTATTGCTGGGTTGAGAGGTCGTTGCGTTGTAGGCGGGTTCTGCTGGAAACCCAAGTCAAGCCTCGCGCGAGATGATTTGGGTGGACAGAGAGTATTTCATTGTAGGTCGCTTTTTGTTTGTCTATTTCATCTTGTACTGCAAGAATGCCAAGGTGCATGTGGATGTTTTGGTTGCGAAGATACCATGGTGCCCCAGTGATAGTTCTCAGGATTTTTGATTGTGCTCACTGTATGATGTCAATATTGCTGCTGCGTTCCTCCTGGGATGGGAGCCATATGTCCAGATGGGCTTGAGAGTGGAATTGGGCGATCGAGCGTTTAAGATCCAGTGGAAGCTGTTGGCTTTTAGTTTTAAATGTAGTTTCTTGCATTCGATGTGCCGGGATGACATTGTGTGCTCCCAGGTATGGTATTACGCGTGTTAAAAGCCATTTCTCCAACAGCTTAGACAAACATGATAATAAACTAATTGGTCTGTAGGACGACGTAATTGTGTGGTCTTTTCCGGGTTTCGGAATCATTATGATCGTTGATTTTTTCCATGTTCTAGGATAGTAGCCGAGACGTATTATCCCATTGAAGAAATTACAAATTTGATATTTTGTATTGGTTGGCCAAAGTTTTCCGATGTACCGTAGCTGTGCGTTTTCAGCGTCTTTCTTCTGGGCTCGCTTTAATGTGCGTGTGGCTTCCTTAAGACGTTGTTTTGAGGATGGCGATCTGTTGGTTTGCCATTCGCATTCGCCTCTTTTCCAGTACAAGCTGTTCAATTTGTAGATTAGTTTTGAAATGGTTGGGTTGCATGTCCTTCCCTTTTGTTGTTGAAATAGTGGCTGCTGCCACGAGTATATCTTCAAGGGCATCGGTAGAACAGTCGATGTCCGCTTCGATGTTGATCTGCGGGGTTAGTTTAATGTGGAAACTTACATATTTTTTATATTTTAGCTTGTTGATTAAGTCAGGGACTTTTCTGGGGTATGCTGTATGTGGAGAAACATAGTTCAATTTGTTGCTCAGTTTTATGATTGAGTTAAACAATGGCCTTCCTTTGGGAGTCACGAGTCGTGATCCCCAGTGCGTTTTTTTGCATTATAGTCTCCTGCAGCTATGAAGCGATCTCCAAGTAAGTTGTAAAAATCTATTAATTGTCCTTCAGAAATTGTAAAGGCAGGCGGGCAGTATTCGGCTATAGGAAGGTTTCCGTTACCTGGCTGCACTATGATAGAAGTGGCCTGCAAGTAGTAAGTGAAATGGTAAAAATGATGCTTGATGCGTTCCCTAATTAGAACGCCGGTTCCGCCATCTGAATGATCTGTGCGGTAGAAGGTGTAGCCTCTTACTTGGAAGTTTTATTTGCTTGTGAGGTGCGTCTCTACCAGTTTGGTAAAGACTCTGTTATTTAAAGTTTGTGCCGAGAAACGACATTGGCGTTCGACATGGTTATTCGTAAGTTTGCCATCAAGTATTTGGACTGCTTAGAGGCAAGCAACTTTCAGACCATGTTCTGGTCTTGATCCAGTGTTTGCATGGTCGTTTTCATGAAGGATATAAATTCCATCATACTTTGTGGCATGGTAACCATCATTGATTCCAGTGTGCTTTGTGACTGTCCTGGGACCTTCTGAAGGTTTCCTAGATTAGACTGGAGTGGGTTTTCTGTTTCTGCCGAAAAAAACTTCCGGCGTAGTTTTTGAGTTAGGTTACACGTTTTTAGGATTTTGATGGCGCGTGCTTGTCACTTGTCGCACGCGGTTTTTCAACTTAATGTAGACCACATAGCCCCTGTATTTAGCCGTGTTATTTCCTCCGCAGTTTCCCCATTTCTTCTTTTGGGGGTCTTCAGGGCAGTTTTCGGAATTGTGAAAGTTTCCACAAACTACACAGACTGATCGAAGTGTGCAGTGTTCCAGCTCTACCTTGAAGAGTGTTTGCGGCTTTTGTTCTTGTTAATAATGTTACTAACGTTCTTTGCAGAAAACCTGTTTTCTTTGAGAGCATCGATAAGTATATTAGGGGTTACATCGGGCTCGATTCCTTTAAATACAACTTGCAAGCCCTTGCTGCTTTTTAGTTGGTACGTGTAGTAGTTTTTCTTAGCTTCCTCAAGGCAACTCGGAAATGTTCTTCAGATTTGGTCTGAAGTTTGGTTTCGTCAATATTCCCTTTAGTAAGCGGAAAAACATGCAAATTATGTTGACCAGTTTTTCTCCCTAATGGAAATTGGTGGGGGCTTAGGTGTCGGTTGGGTCTCTTCACCCAGTTCTTGTTGAATTAAAGCTAGGAGGGCAAATCTGTTGTTGTTAGATACCCCGGGTAATTCGTTGTCTCTTTAAACAGGGTTCATTTTTAGGTTGTTACCAACCCCGGTGTTCTGCGGGCTAAGCTTATGCTAAATTTGGATGTAGCAATCCAGCTGCATCTAGCTGCTGTCAACGACTTCGCATGAGGTTCCGCGATAAGAGCCTTTTCTGTCTCTATTGCTAATTATGCTGCCGTTGTTGTAGATGTTACCATTTCTTTTGGTGCAACTGCAGACGTTTAACCGCTGCATATTGTAGATGCTCCAGTGGTCGAGTCTGATGGTAGGGGGTTTTACACTAAGAACTCCACGTCTTAGAAGACGGTGTAAGAGTAAGTAGAGAGGGTGAGCAAGACCGTGCTCTATGGCTATCGACCGTCAGTATGGCCGAGATACCCTTAGTAGACGTTTTTTGCACTTCACTATCGCGAGTTGATATATACGAGAAGTATCCGTCTCTTAGGACCGCGGAGCTTCGATGGTCTTTATTTGGTTCGTTGCTCATTGAGCTTATTTTAGCGTGGCACTATTAAAAAAAAATTATGCGCTTCTTTTAATCATATCATTGATTTTTTTAGTTGAATAACTATTTATTTCTGTTTTAGCGTCCTTTCACTTATTTTGTAATACTCAAGTTGTTTTTTGGTGTATATGTTTTCATTTGTCTTTAAAGCATTCACTTTCTTTAACTTTTACCGGAGCTCGCGCAAAACACGTCCGCTCACTTCAGCTGCACTTTTTGAATATTGCTGTACTTCCAGAATTGAATCCGCCAGCCAATTGCTTGGCGGATAGTTTCCGTGAGATTTTTAAGGAAGTTAACAAAGGGAATTTAGATTCCGTTTGAATCTTTCAGTAGTGAAAACTGGAACTGGGCTGTATAAGTTTGCTGTTTGTTAATTTTATATAGTACTGGTTTATTATTTTAGAATTTCGGTTTAAATTTTGACTAAAATCGGACGACTATATCAAATAGTTATAATTTTTTTCTTCTATTTTCCCCGATTGTTTCTATGGGCGCTATATGCTTAAGTCGCCCGATCGATTTGTTTCAAACAAACAAACAAACAGGAGGACAAGTTTTAATTTTAAGAATTCAGTCTTCTGAACGGAGTATCGGGTTACTATGATTGCGGTGTGGTGGGACGCGTATTTAAAGTCAGAATACAACCATTCCATAGAAATTATTTTGCTTCACCGGCCCCAACAGCTCCAGTATTGGAAAAAAAAGTTATAAAAGTCTTAGTATGCACAGTTTTTATGCCAATTTCCAATCTCCAGTTCTGCTTAACCGATTTCGGTCATCAATTATTATATTACTATAAATATATAAATCAACTTTCATATACATGCTATAAAGGTAGGTTTTCGAATATAGATGCTAGAGCTAGACAAAGTTTGAATAAATTGCTAAAACTGAAATTAATTCTCCAAAAATACAAGCCTGAAAAACGAAAATAATTATATCACTTTATCTTGAAGATCGAACATTTTCGAATCTAGCATCTATTAAATTCAACAAAGCCGATTTTTTATGAACGCTTAGCAATTTTAAATAAAAAAAATTAATATTATTAACTTAAGTTTTTTACTTTGTCGAACGTGTACAGTTTTCGGTAGGAATTTGTTTTTGAACGCGTTATTTTTGTATGAATGAGCAAATTTCTTTTTTTTGTTTTTACTTTTCTTTTTAATAATATGTATGGTGAAAAAATCCTCTAAAACAATATCATTTGCAGGATTTGACTTATTAAATGGCTAAGACGTTAATGTTTAATGACTTATGTATTTGTAATGAAAACATTTCAGAACTGGTACTAACTTTTCGGTATCGGTTATTCCGGTTGCTATATACTTCGGTTACGGTTCCGGTTAGGCAAAAACATGTTATATAAGTTCCGGTTACAGTTTTGATTCCGATTTGCTGGTTAAGGAAAACGGTTGCGAAACCGGTTCGATACCCTGGCTTTTCTCACTGTAATAAATCTTAGAACTTCAGCCAATTAAGACAAAATTATATAAAATACCACTAAACTTTAAATGGGTACATTTAGAACAATAACTCAATAGACAAAAATGATCAAAGGTTGAATTAAAAATTTATTTAACTTTACACTTTTTGCAAATTATGTTTAAGTGATATTTCCATGTCCAATTGAGCTTGAGCAATGTTTTCCAAGCTTGACTGCATTTTTTCTAGCAAAAGCTCGCCCTTTCGTACAACTTCCTCAAGTTCATGTGCAGTTTCTTGATTTTCGAGCTCGAGCCTCTTAAGGCTAGAATTTTGTAGTTCAATGGAACTATCTTCATTTGGTAACGACTCTATTAGTGTGTCAATATCCTTGGCACATCGTGCAATTAATTGTGCGAAAAGCTGGGCATAGTCGTCTGGAGGGTGGCAAGGGTTTGGCGTTTGGGATCCTATTCGCTCGAAATTGGCAAATTTACTTGGAAAAGAGGTTTGTTGAATCACACCAATCGCATTGCAAAAGTGTTCCGCTTGCTGCAAAGACCATTAAAGCTTTATTTTATGTAAGATGTACCTTAATTTTATAAAAATACCTGATTTACTGTGTCTTGCAACTGTGTAAGTCTGTCCGCCATTTTAGTATGAATTGCACTGCCGTGTTTTCAAGAATATGAGTGAACATTTATTTTGTTTTTAAAAGATTTTTTTTTTGTGGTTTTTTTGTGCGACTGATTATTGATTTCAACATATACATATTTCTGTTTAACAAATGCTGTGCAAGTAATGTTATGATATATGCTTTTACACGATAGTGTAATTCCAAATATGAAAAATTGATCGATTCATTTTATATCCGATATATTTCTACAAAAAAATGTTTAATTTAATACCCTCTTTCCACACAGTCCATCCGTGGAAAATAGTTGAAATTTATATCAGTTTCCAACTCCGATTCCCTCAAAGAACATCTACGATTCACCATCCGATAACCATCCATCTAGCCAAAACATAAACAAGATTGCAGGCAGAAAAATCACAGGAGTAGAATGATGAATTGAATTAAATCGAAGCCATTTTTTTCACCAAACTACATATGCTACGAAGTGTCCGGATGGTGGTAAATGCTCTCCAATTCTATTAAAAATAAATTAAATTAAATAGGCGTTTTATATTAAATAGAAGCGATACGTCTCTACCGGAATACTACGACGATTTTTTTTAAATAAGAGCTTTCGAATACCTGGTTTTTCGGCACCATCTATTTTTCCATTGTTCCTTGTCATTATTGTTTACGTTTTGAAGTGAACGCTCAAATTGTCTCAAAAATAAGTCAACCAAATTTGAACACTATTAATGGCCTAGTCCCACAGAGCACCATCCACCATCTCTTGACAGGTTATTCCTGTATAATAAATTAACGTACAGAATAACCCCGTCCCACATAGCACATGAAAGCGAAACGGTTGGGAATTTTGATGGATGTTGGACTGGTGTTCCCACCATACATAAATATAAGTTTATATTAAGTTTTTCCGGACAATCGTTTAATAACAATTTTTTTAAAATTTTGGGAAATTTTAAACAACATAACCAACTTTCGATTTTTTCAGCGATATATCGATGTTTCCAAAAATCGATCTACTCGCTATCGAAATTTTTGCAACTCTATAAGGCTATACATTAAAAAAAAACTGTGTTGAGGTCTGTTCCCACTGACCGTAAGGGTTTTCCGGGCTAAAAACTTCCCAGTTAGTTCGAGTTGGTGGAATTAACGATCCTAATAGCCTCTTCCCACAGAGATCCATCCACATAAGGTTAAGCCCTTCCGAAAATTTCCCATTTTGTCCGCCATTAAAATATTATTAAAATATGTTTTTTCTAAATTCCAAATTCCTTCCCGTGACAGTAAGTCATTGAGCATTTGCTTCGAATATGTAATGTCGTTAACTGAAAAGTGGGGGCTTGGGAGGTTCACAATCCTACAGGCAGCATATAATAATATAAAAGCACGACAAAGTAGTATCAAAGCAGTTTGACAGAGTTAAAGGATTGTTCAGGACTCCAGCCGTTTTCTGATATTATTTCCATAAAGCGATAACACAGTGGGAATGTGAACGTGGACTTTTAACAAGGTTATCGTATATTTTTATATCAATTTATACCTAAAAGTACATTATTTAATAGCCTATTTCCACAGAGATCATTCCACCATCCCTTGAAGTGATGGTCCATAAGGTTTTGCCGTTCCAAATTATCCCAGTAGTCCGTCGTTAAAGTTTGACGAACTTTGACTGACTAATTTATGCGATAGTTAGCCGATATTTTTGCGGTGCAGACCTGTTCCAAAGCAGCCCATCCCTGAAAAACCGTTGAGATTTTTGAAAAAAGTGAAACTCCGATTTCTACAGAGTACAGACACCTTCCACCATCCGATTTTAGCTGATCATAACAGCTGCCTGGGTATATCCGACCAAAACAATCAAACATGAACATTTTACATTCAGTTACACATTCATGTATTTATGTACATGTGTTTCTAAAAAATTCGGACATCTAGCAAAATCTAACCAGATTTTTTGACGTGCAAAAGAAATTTACCGGACACGTTTTGTTATGCTCGTTTGTATTCACAAACAAAATCCATCCCCTCTCTCTCAAGATCTCTACTGATGAGAGAGTGATAGTTGCTGATTAATTTATGCTTTTTGCTGATGATTTGCAGATGATTTTCTTATTGATGAATTCCGATGACAAGACATTAAACTATTCCTCATCTTATCATCACCAGTGATGAAAAATAAACTGTACTGTAAGGTATTTATACACTCATAGAAAAAATTAAGAATTTCGATGTCAATTCAAGAACGAACGATGTCAAAAGTAGGGTAAATTCGAATTTTTTTGATTTAAGAACGAAAGGCTATATTCAAGAACGAATTATTCAATCCCGAAGTTCTACATTTGAGAATGAACGTCATCAGTCCAAGTATTCAAAAGTGCTTGAAGAAAGTGCGAAAGCTATTAATTTGGGTACGAAAAATTCTTAATGCAAGTATGAAAGTTTCTTAACTTAAATTTTTTTACAAAATGTTTTTTTTTGTTTCTTTCTCTTTTTTTCTTTTCGCTTTGACTCCAAATGAAATTAGAATGAAAGGGAATATGATATGAAATATCGTTTTCTCTATGTATTAAAAAAAACATTTTAAAATAGTATTATCAAGTATGACTCGTACTTATTCTGTACACGTTCGTTCTTAAAATTTTAAGAATTATTCGGCCGATTTTCAAGAACGTCCGTGCTAAAATTATTCGTTCTACTTTTTTCTGGGTGTATATATATATATATGGTATGTATCACCTTTCATCATCAGTGATGAAAGATTTACTGTACTATATGAATATTCCTATGCAGATATGTATAATATAATATGTATATATTTTAAAACGACATTATTTCGCGTGAACTTATAGCGTCTTGCGAAATTATGTCGTTTTTTCCTCGGCGAACTTATGTCCCTTTAAAGCGATATACGTTCGCCATAACTAATTTTGAAAAGACATTATACCGCGCGAACTTATGTCGTTTAGCAGCCACATAAGTTCGCGGCTGGCGAAATTGGGTCGTTTTTTCCTCGGCGAAGTTATGCCACTTTAAAGAGACATAAGTCTCCGCAAGTAAATTTTAAACGAAATAATTTCACGCGATCTTATGACGTTTAGCGACGACATAATTTCGCCAGAAAAAAAAATCATAAGTTTGCAGATCAAATGTACTGGGCGGAATTGTGGCGGTGGAATTATGTCGCTATGCCGCTTTAAGGACTTAAGGGGGTATTCTGGTCTAGAAGCCTGAATTTAAGGAATTTTTTTCAAGAAAGATTAAAGCAAAATACAAAACATTTTTTATGTAGAATCTTTTATATGTTTTTTATAGAAATTTTAAGAATACTAACAAAAAATAAAGTAAAAAAAACCCAATGTTCGCCGAGACACAGGTCGATGCAGTGGGGTCTTTAAAAAAACTGTACGTCCCTGTTGACAAGATATCAGACCTTGAAGAGAAATCAAACGAATTCTTCATTACTAAAACTGCCGTTTTCGGGTTGACCACTTCAAAAAAAATTTTAAATAACAAAAAGACGTCGACTTGAAAACAAAAAATGTTTTATAACCAATTTTTTCGACCTTTTCAAAATTTTAAAAATACTTATAATCAAAATGTTTATATGTCCGAGGCAGAGGGATAAAGAGTAGTATAAGCAAGATATATATCAAATTGATTGTAATGGCTCGGACTCAAGGTCACAGAACTGTCTGTGTCTTCGAAAATAATTTAAATTTTAAAAAATCCTTTTGGGATCATATTTTTTAGAATCTAAACTTTCAAAAAATGCAAACCTAAAAACAAACGCTAACTAAATGTATGAAAGGACGGTTAGGCGATCTGGCTTATAATTTTCTAAATGCCAATTGAAAAAACTCCTGATTCTGAAATTGCTGATTTGTTTGTCAAATTATTCGATTCGATTAAATATGATTTACCCTTACAATTTAAGAGTCCAAATTTTATTTTTTTTGTTTATTTTTTAACCATACAACATATAGACTGGTTATTTCATACAACGAATTTGGATACAAAAATTTGATTGCGGCAGGCCCCCGGGTTCTCAGCAGCAGGCCCCGGCGCTTTGTGTGCAATCGGGTTATTCTCATTTTTATGCTCGCGCATAGAGTAAGAAACTATATAGAGGCACCATTTGCCCTGGCGCTCTCTTGAGTGACATTTCCAGTGATGCCACCTAGATAAAACATCGGAAAATTTCAATCTCTCACGGTTCGATTCGAACTTGTAATTCGGTCCCGCGGTGAGTTTCTGCAGCTGAACTGATCGCTCTCATTGCTTAGGGCTGGTGCGAGCAGTGCAGTTGCAAGTTCGCTGCGGGACCGAATTGCAAGTTCGAACCAAAAACTGAAAAGTGGCGTGGGAAATCAAGTTTGGCTTCGAAGATGGCTCACAGCACAGCTTGGGCAGAGGTCCGGACAAATGGTGCCTCTATAAATTTCTTACTTTATGGGTCAGCCTTCTTCAACACGACATCATCGTGATCGGACGCACACTGGAAGAACACAGAAGGAACCTCAGAGAAGTTTTCCGACGCCTTAAGCGGGCAAACCTCAGGATAAATCCCGAAAAATGTCATTTCTTCAAAAGCGAACTGCTTTACCTGGGACACCGCGTTACGAACCAAGGACACTGATCCCGAAAAAGTAGCAGCCATAGCCGAGCTGGAACCACCCACAACCATCCGGGAACTGCGCCAATACTTGGGCGTAGCATCGTGGTACAGGCGATTCGTGCCCGACTTTGCGCGAATAGTGAAACTACTAAATGACCTATTGCGGAAGGGCAAGAAATGCACATGGACTGCAGAGCACCAGCGAGCATTCAAGGAGGTGAAGGCAAGGCTAGTGGCCGATCCTGTGCTGGCATGCCCAGATTTCGATAAACTATTCGTACTGCAGACGGACGCAAGCGATTATGGTATAGGGGCAGTCCTGCCGCAGGAAACTGAAGGCGGCGAAAAAGTCATTACATATTCAAGCCGGACCCTAATTGGCGCGGAAAAGAACTATTCAACCTGCTAAAAGGAATGCCTGGCAATCGTGTGGGCTCAAACCATACTTGGAAGGATACCACTTCAAAGTGGTGACTGACCATATGGCGCTTAAATGGTTGAACAGCATCGAAAGTCCCTCAGGAAGAATAGCGAGGTGAGCCCTGGAGCTGCAGCAGTATGATTTTGAAATTTCGTACAGGAAGGGGCATCAG